TGGCAAGTCTTGCAGGGGGCAAAAGGGATTGGGTATAGGAAAAGTTAGTGTGTGTGTGGAGGGGGTGTTCAGTGAGGGGAGGGCCCTGGAAGGTGATGTCCTTTTGGGCGCATCAGGGGACCTGCTGGAGAAGCCAGTCCAGGCGCAACCAGAATGAAAAGAGTAGAGGAAATAAAGTGAGGGAAGGAGGATGGAGGCTGTAGCATCACTGTGAGGGCTTCAGAGGGCCTAGAAGGAGTTGGGCGGCTCTTGAATCTAGTTCTGGCCCTATTTTCCCCGACTAGGAACTATCTTACAATGCCCCGTCATCTCCCAAAGAACTATAGACAGCAGCTCATAGGGCATAGAAACTTGGGGAGGGGGCCTCCTGCAGGCACACAGCACTCACTGGGTATCAGGCACTGTTCTAAATGCCATGTACATATTACCTCATTTAATCTTCACAGCAACCCTATGAGGTACATGGCATTATCCCCCACTTTACAGGTGAAGAAACTGACACACAGAGAAGTCAAGGAATTCATCTGAGATGAGAAAGCCGACTTGAATTCAGGTACTTTGCTTTCAGAATTGATGCCAGTAAACTCTACTACCTCTGCATGCATCTGGGGGGAGGACAGAAGGGGCATCTCATATCTATGTGAGCCCCATATCTCCCCAGGCCAACAGAAGGAGCCCCTCTGGGATCCTTCCAGAGAGTATGGAGCCCCAAGCCAGAGAGAGTGGGCCTGCAGCACGCACGGTGCTGGGGCAGCCACACTGTGAAATGGATACAGACTCTCCGATGCAAGTGTAGACGATTTGGAACGGCACCAGGCACAGTGACCACCCCCTCCCACCAAGAATTCTCCTTGACACGTTCTTATTTCCCCTTCTGGTTTGCAGTGTGGACAGAAGGCAGTTAAAGTAGGTAATTTTGGGTGATCAGCTAGAAGTGGCAGGGCCCTCAGGGAAACTAGCTTGGGGTCACAGTGTTTTTGTCAACCCTTTGGGAAAGGCTGGACTGAGGCATTTGGGAGGCTGGTGTCAAATGGGGTGGGCCAGGGCAGCCAACCCCATGCCACAGGACTGAGAGATCCTGACTGAGCCTGTGTGTGTCTTCCTCCATGGAAAAGATATCAGGGCTGCCTCAGGAGAGAAACTGACAAAGGCACAGACACTGAGGATGAAGCCTGTTCCAACAGGAGCTGAGGAGCGATGCTGCGTCAGAGAGAACACAGAGGTCTCCACTGTGTCCTCTGAGCTGCCCAGCCTCCCGTCTTGCTAGTCTGGCAGGCACACTAAAGACACCTCTGGCCTGAAGAAAGTCGAGGGAGCACTGGAAGGGGCAGGGACTCCGTGGCTCATCTAGACACCTTAAAAGGTGGTTTTAAGGAGTCTAGGCTATTGGTATGAAGGCACCAGCTCTGGGCACAGAGCAAGGTCTCTCTGGGCCAGGAGGACCAGGTCTGGGCCAACTGGGAAACACGAGATAGGCTGGAGGCTGGCTGATGGGAACATCTCTAAGCCTCCCTAAATTCCAGCGGACTCCAGCAGAAAGCTGGAGGGCTCTGCCCTTCTCTTTCCCATCTATTATGTCCATGAACAGTTTAGATGGATAGGTGGTGGCCACTGAAGTCTCCAACTCCAAGGGTACTAGAAAAGAGAGGGATATGCAGTAAAGCAGTGACTGGCATGAAAGGAGCAGGGTTTGCGGAGCTGGCAAGTGACCTGGAGGGGCAGGAGGGCAAGCCCCCGCCAAGACTGGGTGCGTCCCTGGCCTGGAGCAAACTGGCGCCCAAAGTTACCCGTCCCAAACTCCCCTCTCCCAGAAGGCCTCCAGACCTGTATTCGGGAGCCCAGGCTCCCCTCGCTGCTGGAGAAACAGCGAAAGGGCAAAGAGCTGGCTCATACCGGAGGAAACAAAGCTCCACTGGACAAAGGATGGAGCAGGCAGCTCCGGCTGAGACCTGGCCCTATGCCCCATGGAGGGTCGCAGATGAGGGGATCAGGCTGCTTCTCCCAGCCTGAGCATCGCTATTTCTGCGCTGGGCAGTTAAGGCTGCACAGCCCGACCACAGTTAACCTTGGACACCGCCTCGCCCCACCTTCTAACCCCCAACTCCGCCACATCCGCGCGGCCAGACGCTGTCCGGGGACGCCAGGGCTTTGGGGAGCCTCTGGGGCCGCCCGGATGAGGCAAGGAGAATTTGGTCGTTCTTGGATGCTGTTTCCTTCCTCCCCCGCCCCTCCGTCCAAGCGGGACCGTGGAACTCAGACTTTCACGACCAGGACAAGGGAGTCCGCGAGGCGGAGGGAAGTCTTCAGAGCCGTGCCGCCCCTCCCACCCCCACGACCCCGGGCCAGATCTGGGACAAGCCTGGAAACGCCCAGGGTCGTGCTGACAGTCCCACCCAGGGAGCCGCGGGCTGAGATTTTCCTAGTCCCGCGAGGGGGCCGACAGGCTGGCCCGGGGCGGGGTGGAGGCGGCCGAGGGAGCTGGGGGCTCCGGGTCCAGGGCCCGGAACGGCTCTCCAGGCCTTCGCCCGGCAGGGTCTCCTGCTTGCGTGGGCCGGGCACTCACCGTGCAGGGTCAGGAAGTCCCCGCCCGAGTCCATGCCCCACGGGCGGCGTGGCGGGAGGGGCACCGCGGGACTCACGTGAGCGGCGCCGGCGCCGGGTCCGAGCAGAGCGTGGTGGAGGGATCCGAGTGGAGCGGCTGGGAGGAGGCCGAGGGTGGGCCCGGACTCCGCCCCGCCCCCCGCCGGCCTGCGCCCCCGCCCCCTGGGGCCCGCCAACCCGCGCCTCTCCCCGCCCCTGCTGGGGACGCTGCGGGGAGGGCAGAGCTGGGGGCCGCGCGGACAGGCCAACCCCTGCCCGGGCGAGCAGGCGCACCCCGACCAGAAATAGCCAGATCCCTCCAGCTTCCTCTGCCGCCGCCACCCACGGGCCGCGGGCCCTGTCATTACCGCGGGCGGTCCGGCCCCACGCCCTGCTTGTGGGCGCCTCGCTGGGGTCAGGGTGATGCTGGAAAGAATCCGGCGTCATCCCGGGGAAGGGATCGTGTAAGGTCCGACGCCCAGGCGCGCCGCTGCGCTGGGGAGACGCGGCGTCCAGGCTTCCAGCCACTGCTCCCGTATTCGCTTTCCCTTCTGCGAAATGGGTGCACGGACACGACTAGGTCTTCAGAGAGCAATACCTGGACCTTGTCGGCAGGAGCGTCCCCTTCCCTCCCCCTGGGAGGTTTCTAGCCTTAAGAGTGGCATTTGGTGGAGTGCTGGGGGGGGGAAAGGAAGGGGTAAGCAAACAGGTGCAGAGTTCACTTCGGAGCTCCTCATATCCCAAAACCCCAGCGATCCATGCAGCCGAGGGGAGGATCCTCAGGGTACCTTCAGGTGGCCTCCCAAAGGGCCATCTGGGCAAGGTCCCTATGCAGACCCACCCCCCACTCTTGGGGCTCAGAAAACCCTCTTTATAAGTTGCCCAGACACCCCTCCACCCCAGCCCCTGGGAGGGTTCCTGGATCCTGTTGCCCACCACCCCTTTAGAGAGTCCCTTGGGAAAACTGGGCTCATGGTGTCAGAGAGCCCCCAGAGGGCCTCCCAGGATGAGGGGGTGCTAGGCCCCCCAGAAAAGCCACCCAGGCCTCCTGGGCTGATAAGGCCAACCTGAAAGTCTGGCAAAGCTAGCTGGACCAGCTTTTTGGGGAGGAGGCTGGGCCCTAGTGGGCCTGAGTGGCCTTAAGTAAGGGAAGTGAAACAGCTGGAGGGCATTCTTCTGGTACTGAGGGTTAAGAGTGGGTCAGGACTTCCCAGCTTTGGAGAGCCCCCTACTCTGCATGCCCCCCTAACTCTGCATGCCCCCCTACTCTGCATGCCCCCTACTCTGCATGCCCCCTACTCTGCGTGCCCCCCTACTCTGCGTGCCCCCCTACTCTGCGTGCCCCCCTACTCTGCATGCCCCCCCTCCACAGACGGGGCCTCACCCCTTCCCAGCACTCAGCTCCTATCCCGTCCTGCAGTATGAACACTGTGCCCTGGGCAGGCTGTCAGTTCCCTCCTTGCTTTCCCTCCGTCCAGGGCCGTACTCCATGTCTGTTGAGGGATGAGCAAATCCATACTGGCAGGCCCCACTTTGGACCTCTATACAGGAGGCCAGGGCAGGGGTAAGGAGGGAGAAGGGTCCCCTTCTCTGTCCTCTGGGGGCCTTCTCAGGCCTTGGAGCCTACCACCTGCACCTCTGACACTCCTGGGCCTGCGTGCCCTGTTCTCTGCAAGCCCGGCCCTCTCAAGTTCCTCTCCTCTTCCTAGGCAGCGTCACAATGAAACTCTGACACCAGGAGTGGACACGGCTCCATCTCAGGCATCATTCCTATGTATTCACGTCATCTCCCAACTCAGCCCAGGCCGGAAAACAGGGCATTACCTGGGAGCTTCTCGTCTCCCTCTATCCCTGTTCCCTGCAGGGGCTGCAGCCAGGCTGTTCCTTTGCATGCTCCAAACCCACCTCACAGAAGCCCACCTCTGGCCTCTGGCACAGACACAGAAGCTGCAGCCTCCTCTCTAGCCCAGGGTTCTTGGGCAGGATGGGCACTGCTGACTCAGAGCTGGCACATGCAACCAGATTCTGCCAGAAATGAGGGCTGGGCCCCACCCTGCTCATAGAGAAACCCAGTCTCCTCCCCTGTCGGCCCCTCCTGGCTCTCACAGGCTGGGAGGTGCCCTGCTGGTTCCTGCTGGGGGTAAGCCTCTGTGGTAGGACCTGACGTGGGGAGGGGCTGGAGCTCGGGAGCAAAAGAGGCTTTGTACCAAGCCACAGAGTTGCTGGATTCCGCTCCCTCTGCCGTTACTCCCTCTCCTTCAGCTCCCAGGGCTGTCTGTGGGCCAGCCCTGGCCAGGTGCCTAAACTACCCTCCTCAAAACCCAGCTCCCAGTTGCCTGTGCAAGATGCCCTGAGATCCCGGTGACTCAGAGGGCTATTTGGCAGGCTTAGTGTGGGTGCACAGAGGCCCACACATGCCTCAAAGAGCAGTTCTTTAATGGTGGAGTTTCTGGCATCTCACTCTCCTGACCATGTCCAGTCTTCAGTGTCTGTGTGCGGGTGGATGGGGTGATGGGCTTCTGGGATCACTGGAGACATGGGAGAGAGACCAAGTGTTGGTGCCAGTTCCTGCCTCAAGCCACTTCCCTTGGTCCCTCTACCACCCTCTCTGGGGGCCTGAGGAGAGAATATTATCAACCCAGGACTGCCAGCTTTCAGGATGATCACGTTCCAGGTGTGCTTCAGGGCTGGCCCTTTCTAGCCCCTCCCCCATGGAATGCAAACCTAGCCCAGCCTGGGAAGTGAGGTGGATAGGGTTTATTCTACCCACTCCCTGTCTTTAGAGCTCCTGGCTCCAGGATATGGGGTGAAGAGGCTGTTTAAATCTTCGCTCTGCAGTTTCCTGCCGTTAAGACTGGAAAAGTGACTTCGCCTCTCGGTGCTCCTCAATCAGAAGCTATAATCATCCTTAGAATTGGCAGAAATAATGGATGGCAAGTACAGGGCACAAATACAAACCTGCTAGAAGGCCAGCAGAATCCCATTTCCCATAGCCATCCTCTGCCTGGCCTCCTCTACAGATCCTGGCCTCCTCTAGAGCCCAGCCTGAGGCAGTTGGTCTAAGGGGATACCCCTGCTGCTTTTGAGGCCTGCAAAACCCCCATAGGAGCTCCCTCCAGAGGGTCATGGGCCCAAGACTCAATGCATCAGGAGGAAAAGTGAAGGCTGCTCCTCCCAAGGGAACAGCTGTGACAAAGTGAGAGTCCTCAGGTTATGTAGGGTCAGACCCTCAGGTCCTGACCGTGTAGGGATCCAGGATGCCACAGTGAACCATGAGGTTGCTAGGCCTGCTGGTAGTTCCAGGACAGTATGGGATTATTTGAGGCTATTATTCCATAATTATATTTGTGGGATTTAGTGTATATTCATTTGTGAATGTAACTGTGATGTTTATTTCACTGTAGACTGAGTCCCAATGCTCCTCTCCACCCCAGAGGCAGAATATAGGGCTTGGTGTCAGGGAGCAGTCAGGAAACTTGTCCTCAGACCCTTATCTGACAGAGAAGGCGGAGGCTAACTTACCTGAGGGAGGGAGCACATTTAAGGGCTGTGTGAACTGAAGACACCCACATTTGAAAACTGTTCTGCTATGTCACTTATTCAACAGATATTTACTGAGCAGCTACTCTGTACTGAGCACTGTTCTAGAGGCTTGGGAATCATCTGTGAACAAAATACACCAACAGCCTCTGCCCTCTTAGAGCCTAAATTCTAATGGAAAGAAAAGAGACATTATAACAAACATAAGAAATGAAGTATAGGATATTAGCAGGTGACAAGCAAAATGAAAAAAGTGGGATAAAGGAGTTCAGAAATGGGATAGGGTTAATTAATTTATTATATTTTTGAGACAGAATCTCGCTCTGTTGCCCAGGCTGGAGTGGCTGGCAAAATATTGCATCAAATATTTGGAAAGTTATAAATTATAGTCTCAAACCTTTTAGAAGGCCAAAAGGTTTTATTGGGACAGGTTAGAGGCAGCCTGTCCATTATGTTAGGGAAGAAATGGGGATGATAAAAAGCTTTTCCAGTTTAAGTCTGTTTACCCCACATCCCTTTGTCTCTGCTCTGTTTACTCATATAAACTTTGTGCTGAATGGTCCTCTTAGGGAGAAATCAAAGGTAAATTAACCACGAAGGTGTTTATTCTGGGCCCCAAACTTAAGGCTTTTATCATTCATAAAACCACTCTTTTAACCATGTTAATTACTCACAAGTGTGTTAACTTAAAACCTGTTATACAATTAATAATAAATAAAAGTATGTAGAGGAGTCTGGGTCGATTGGTTGCATTTTGCCCTCTAAAAGCAGCCAACAACCATCCCTAGCCCACTTTAATCACTACAGTGGTGTAAAAGTACATTCATTCATCCATCATTAAGTCAAAGTCTGCAAGGCCAACCCTCCGCAGGTAGCGGACATCTCAGGTGGTGACCCCAATGTGATACCCGCCGCAGCAGGCGCTCAAACACAAAGCAAACCAAGGTAATCATCATTGCGAAGAGGGAATGGCAAACCTCCCAAAAACCAAAAAGTAAAAAAACAAAAAAAACCACGCAATCAGGTCAAGTAGTAAGCAATCAGGTCAAGTAGTAAGTCATTGGTACTTGACTCAAGTAGTAAGTCAAGTACCAATGACTTGGGGATTGCCAAGCTCAGGGAGGCATTGTTTCAGGCTAAAAATTCATCATAAAACAGCGGTTATCAGCTCAACAAATAAAAGTACAAAATGTAATTCAAGCTGCTGTTCTCCAAGGTCCATTATTCCAAGCAAAAATGTAAAGCTCTAAAAACAAGTAAAACAAATACCTAGGAATACAACTAACAAGGGATGCGAAGGACCTCTTCAAGGAGAACTACAAACCACTGCTCAAGGAAATGAGAGGGCATAAACGGATGGAAAAACATTCCATGCTCATGGTTAGAAAGAATCAATATCGTGAAAAGGGCCATACTGCCCAAACTAATTTATAGATTCAATGCTATCCCCATCAAGCTACCATTGACTTTCTTCACAGAATTGGAATAAAAACAACTTAAATTTCATATGGCACCAAAAAAGAGCCCTCATAGCCAAGACAATCCTAAGCCAAAAAAAAAAAAAAAAAAAGCTGGAGGTATCACCCTACCTGACTTCAAACTATACAAGGCTACAGTAATCAAAACAGCATGGTACTGGTACCAAAACAGAGATATAGGCCAATGGAGCAGAACAGAGGCCTCAGAAATACCACCACACATATACAATCATCTGATCTTTGACAAACCTGACAAAAACAAGCAATGGGGAAAGGATTGCCTGTTTAATCAACGGTGTTGAGGAAACTGGCTAGCTATATGCAGAAAGCTGAACCTGGATCCCTTCCTTACACCTTATACAAAATTTACCTCCAGATGGATGAAAGATTTAAACATAAGACCTAACACCACAAAAACCGTAGAAGACAACCTAGGCAATACCATTCAGGACATAGACATGGACAAGGACATCATGACTAAAACACCAAAAGCAATGGCAACAAAAGCCAAAATAGACAAATGGGATCTAATTAAACTTAAGAGCTTCTGCACAGCAAAAGAAATTATCATTAGAGCGAACCGGCAACAGAATGGGAAAAAATTTTTTGCAATCTACCCACTTAACAAAGGGCTAATATCCAGAATCTACAAAGATCTTAAACAAATTTACAAGAAGAAAACGACCCCATCAAAAAGTGGGCAAAGGATATGAACATTTTTCAAAAGAAGACATTTATGCAGCCAACAAATATGGAAAAAAGTTCATCACTGATCACTAGAGAAATGCAAATCAAAACCACACTGAGATACCACCTCACGCCAGTTAGAATGGTAAGCATTAAAAAATCAGGAGACAACAGATGCTGGAAAGGATGTGGAGAAATAGGAACACTTTTACACTGTTGGTGGGAGTGTAAATCAGTTCAACCATTGTGAAAGACAGTGTGGCGATTCCTCAACGATCTAGAAATAGAAATACCATTTGACCCAGCAATCCCATTACTGGGTATATACCCAAAGAATTATAAATCATTCTATTATAGAGACATATGCACACATATGTTCATTGTGGCACTGTTCACAATAGCAAAGACTTGGAACCAACCCAAATACCCATCAGCGATAGACTGGATAAAGAAAATGTAGCACATATACACCATGGAATACTATGCAGCCATAAAAAAGAATGAGTTCATGTCCTTTGCAGGGACATGGATGAAGCTGGAAACCATAATTTTCAGCAAACTGACACAAGAACAGAAAATCAAACACCACATGTTCTCAAAGTGGATGTTGAACAACGGGAACACATAGACACAGGGAGGGGAACATCACACACTGGGGCCTGAGGGGTGGGGGCAGGGGTGTGTGGCAGGGTTAGGAGAGGAATAACAGGGAGTGGGGGGATTGGGGAGGGACAGCATTAGGAGAAATATCTAATGTAGATGATGGGGTGATGGGTGCAGCAAACCACCATGGCATGTGTATACCTATGTAACAAATCTGCACATTCTGCACATGTACCCCAGGACTTAAAGTATAATAAATTATTTTTTTAAAACATGCACAAAAGCATCCAATAAAAAAAACTACAGCTATAAAAATTTGTCTTAAGCAAGCGGCATTACAAAAAAACTCTTAGCCTGCCCAGTTATTAATAATCAGCAAGGCAATCAGGTGTATGTTTATTTAAAAAATTTTAAAAAGGCTTTACAAGCCAAAGCCACACAGCCAAGAAAAAGAAAAAAAAGAAAAAAGAAAAAAAGGCTCTGGCAAAAAAGCTCCTCCCAAGTCGGCCAAGGCGGAAAAAGCAAGCAGCACAAGCAAAAAGCAGCAAGCAGCACCCAGGCAAGGCCAGCATCGCTGCCTGCCATCCGGAACCTGCCCGTGCCTGCTGCTCTCCACAGGCGTCCCACAGTAAGATTTCCTGCGTTCTTTGTATACAAGCAACATCCCAAATTGTAATTCTCAGCCATAATTTAAGTTAAATTTAAAAATTTGTAAAAACTTTTCTAATATTGGCCGGGCGCGGTGGCTCAAGCCTGTAATCCCAGCACTTTGGGAGGCCGAGGCGGGTGGATCACGAGGTCAAGAGATCGAGACCATCCTGGTCAACATGGTGAAACCCCGTCTCTACTAAAAATACAAAAAATCAGCTGGGCATGGTGGCGCGTGCCTGTAATCCCAGCTACTCAGGAGGCTGAGGCAGGAGAATTGCCTGAACCCGGGAGACGGAGGTTGCGGTGAGCCGAGATCGCGCCA